CTGCACGGGGTTCGAAGCAGCGGGGATTTAAAAATGGCGGCTCCCCGCTTATGCTAATGAAGCCCAGGAAATTCAAATCCCGGGCTTCATTAGCAAGTGCGGTATGCATACATTACCCTCCTAGTTCGAACTAGGAGGGTAGTGTAGACATACCCTCAGAGAGGCGGCAACAACCGCCATGCACTTCGTGAAGACCATGGGGGATGTGGAAAGGCCAAAAGGGGTGCGGTGCCGGGACCTGGATCCAGGTGACCATCCCGACTCTGCCTCTGATTTGATCGAGTACTCCGAGGTTGACCAGGGTGGAGCAGAGGCAGTTGCAGCCGGTGATCTCCCAGTTGGGGCGTGCTGGGCCATCGACTTCGGCTTGCCCCAATGCTGGGGAGAAGGGTGAGGCATGGCTGGTGCCAGTGCTAGTTAGCCCACTGGGGAAGGGCCGGCAGCTGTAGAGCTTGGTGCCGCACTCGGTACCACCTGAGGACCTTGTACCGGTGCCATACCAAGGCGTGGGCCAGGGTTGAGGCTGCCACGAGTGCTGAGGCTGTGGGCAGTGCCGCACCCAGTACTGGGCTGCAGAAAGGATGACCTCTTGCTTCTGGGCCCGGGCTACTGGGTGCCCAGACCATTGATTGGTGCCAACCCAGGTCACAATCCTTGGCTGGGGCCGGTGCCGGTACAAAGGTGGGGGAAGAGGACAGTTTGATCAAGTCTCCAGCTGCCTCGAAAGTCTCCAGAGTAGAGGGCTCCAGGAAGTCCCACGCTAGGATAGTGTCTCATCATGGATTAGTTTGATGTTTGCCTGGCCACGATGGTCCGGGCATGGCACTCGATGGTGCAGTGTGCCCCATGTGAGGGTGCAAGGAGGACATGTGTCTTGGAGGTGACCTACCCCTCCTAGACCTCCTCTTCTTCTGGGTCACCGGAAACTGAGACCGGTGCTGAGGTTTACGCCGTGCTGGGGAGGTGCATGAATGGCCTGATGCCTCCCACACTAAGGCCAGTGAACTCTGAGTTGCCAAAGCTGGGTCACAGAGCCAACCCAAGGTACAGGCCAGGCGGGCTACTGCCCGGGGCACCCCATTATAGGGGGCGCTGCGCAGGGCTGCCAGGCTGGGTGGGGGCAGTGCCACGCATGTGCCGGGCACCTGGGGGCGGGGCCGCGCATGCATCATGGGCCCAGGGTGCGCAAATGGCTTGGGCTGGCCCTGCTGGGTCGGTTGCCAATGCCAGGCACAAAGCCACCTTCACAAGTATAATCTTCAACCGCGATTCTTTCTCTTGCTTTGTGTGCGGCTTGAAAGCCTTACAGATTTTACAGGCTTCGGACAAATGGGCCTCACTGAGGCACGTAAGGCAGGCAAAATGAGCGTCTCTGCAGGGCATAGGCCTCTGGGACTTCTCCCAGGGCTTGAAGCCTTGAGGCCCAGGCATGCCCTGCTGAATCTTTAGCACATGATGAAATATTTAACAGCTACTTAAGAAGCTAGTAAGAACAATAAACTGAAATTTTAACAAAGAACTCTAACACTAGGTGAACTGCTAAAGGGTGCTTGCAGAGCAAGAGCAATGACCATCATGAGTGGCAAAAAGGAATGGAGAGAGTGGAGGGCCAGCTGCGGTATATACTGGCCAGTATAGTGGCACCACTCCAGGGGGTTCCCCTGGTGGCCCAACGGGTACTGCTAAGGGAAACATTTCCGATGACACATGCACACTGCGCATGCATACCTACATGGAATGGACATGAGCAATTACTTGAAGAAGAACTCAAGTTCCCCAACTGTAGAAAATAATCTGAACAGAACAGAGTTTTTCCTGTTGTATTTACAAGGTGGTTACATTATTTTTAAAAACTAAAAAAAAAAAAAAGAATGTTAAGAACGAGGTAAATATTTCTATTTCTCTATATTCCATAATTGTGTTTGCAGTTATTATACACTGCAAACAAAAAACACCCATTAAAATTAGTGCCTATCGTGTAAAGATGTCTCATGAGGAAAATTGTAATTGACACATGATTAGAGTTAACCTAACTACCAAACATTCTAGATTATACATGCGTAGAAAATGTGACTATAAAACACACCTGAAAGTCACTTCTCACACCCAGAAGGATATTTCAAACACTCTTCTCAGCTGAGTCCAGGCTCTCCATTAACAATTACATACTTCCATCCATAATTAACTCTTGCTCCTCTTTCTGACTCTCAGCCTTACCTCACTCCTCCACTAATGGATATCTCTGGAGAAATTCCAGAGACCATGCCAGTTTGTTCCTCTCCTCAGTCAGCACAATCATATTCCTTGCCAAACAAAGTTACTTCTTCCTTCTTGGTCAAATCCTCACTCTTACAACCATAGGCACTTGACACTTTGGACTCTTTCCTCTCAGTCTCTTGCTCAGCTTCTCCTCTTTGCTGCCCAGAGTCTCTCAGATTAATGTGTAGAGGAAAAATAGCACTGTGTAGCCTTAGTTCCCTATAGTGAGTTTCTCTTTTCCACTTCAGCCCTGAGTGAAGTGTCACTCGCTCCTAGTGTCTAGCTCAATCTCCATTCTTGTTGCTATCAGATCCAGTCACCTGACCTCCTCCCCCTCATCCTTCCACTCACCCTCTTGCATGTTCCCAGCTACATTTAAACAAACATTATTCTATCCAGCCTCTTCAGTTACCAATTATTGCCTTCCCTACCCATCTCCTTGAAAGAACTCCCTTCTCTTAAAGCTTAAACCTCTGTCCACTTTCATCTTAATGCCTGTATCAGAGGCAGCAGCGCGGGACAACAGGCAGTTGGTCAATGAGAGGAACTGTTTTTTAAACTGGATCCTCTCGTGGACCAGCTTCTCCCTGGTACCCTGCTCTGCTGCCTCTGATACAGAGGCAGCAGCTGGAGTGACAGGGGGCTCCTCAGGTGAGGGGCCCGAGTGCACTGGCTGCCGGCCCCACCCCTGGTGACTATAGAATAGTCGAGTAACCAGTAAGAATTGATGAGGTTAATCAACTATTCAATTAACCGATATTTAACATTTCTAGATAGGATACTAGATGGACCTTTGGTCTGACCCAGTCTGGCTGCTCTTATGTTCTCACTTACACGTTTTTGCTAAGTTCATCAGGTGCCAAAATGCCCAACTGTCCAGTCTCCAAAGCTTCTTTTCTGTTCTCATCCTTCTTGATCTTGGCATTAGACCAGGAGTGGGGAAATCTTTTTTGGGTTGGGGGCTGCTGACCCCTAGGTTAGTAGATTTTGTGTGCTCTAACCCCATGGTGGGATAGCAGAGGGACTGGAGTGCCAGTGCAGACTCTCCAACACTCGGGGGAGGGGGTGGGTGTGCTGAGCCTCAGGGCCCAGATCCAGGCAAGCCAGGGGCCACAGGTATCCCACCCGTTTTAGACTATGTGCTCTTCTCATTCTTCTACCACTTCATGACCCCTTCTTTGGTGTTTAAGTGGCCCCTCCTGGTCTCAGCTGCTGTTCTCCAGATATTTACCCTTAATTTTTTTTATTTTTAGGTAGGGAAGTAAAAGGTTACTGGTTACTCAGCATGCTTACCTAGTAACTGGTTAATTGGAAGGGTGGGCACGGCCAGAGTGTACACACACCCAGCCCATGGCAGGGCCTGGCTGGCAGGACCCTTGCTGCAGCAGTAGCTCAGGGGCAGGAGAACCCCCCGCCACAGGACCCCAGCCACTGCTGCTCTGCACCAGTCTTTTTAACCAGTTAAATTATATAATTTTAACTGTTTAACTGGTTAACTGTTTTAAGGGGTATTTACATCCCTACTCTTAGGACACTTATTAATTTTTCCACCTGAGCTCTCACATTTTCACCTGGATGCTTCCCTCTCCTACTAGCAGAAATTCAGATTGTTCAGAAGTAGCAACCTCCTCTTCCATTCAAAATCCTCCTTCTACACTCTCCTATATCCACATCTGTCAGTGACTCCATCAGCCTTCTATTTCCACATATGTGAAAGTTGGCTGAATTTTCAACACTCATACAGATTCAATACTATCTCTAATTCCAGATGGGTTTAGCCCCACAATAACTCGAAAATTTGCCCATTCTTCTCCCTTATCACCAGGGCTCTTGTCTAGACCCTGTTTTTTGCTTAAATATACCTTCTCCACACTTATCTGTTCCAAAACTGTTTTGTGCAAATCCTCTATCTTACATAAGCAATGCATTACTATCTGAAAATCCCTTCACTGTCTGTAGATCATATCAACAAATTATAAAAACAAATTATGGATTTTGTACTCACCACCTCCAAGATCCTCAATAATCTAGTTGTCTCTCCTTAATTACCTGCAGTTCTCTCCTGTTGATCTCATAACAATTTCTGTATTCTGCCCAAACTTCTCATTCATTTCATGTCTCCTCCCTCTCAAATCCCACTTCCTCAAGAAGTCTCACAAAATTAAACAGTCCCATAATTTTAAAGGACAAAGCAACCAAATCAAAACCTGTGTAGCCTTTGAGACATGTATTCTTGATCACAGTGCCTCAGTTTTCCTCCTCAAGCACTCTGTGCCCTTCATCTACAGTACTCATTTTAGACTGTACTAATTCCAGACACATCTTTGGTGCTAGATACATAAGCAACAAAAAGGGACACATATATAATGCTTTTACTGACAATACCTGCTTACTGTCTTGTTCATTTATTTTCTGATAATTGTCGGCTGGCAAGCTTTTCTGTTTCACCTGGAAAAAAAAAACCCTTAGTCAAATATCAATGTATTATAAATACTTAGTGCTTGGCTGTCAGCAGCTATGTCCTACTATCTGGAACAAACTGATCACAACACTGCCATTTCAAACCTACATAAAGAGTTAAGTCCTGTGATGGAACAGAATATTTGAAACTTCACCTGTCAAACAGATTGGCCTCCAACTTTTTGGCCTCCAGCTTGGCTGAATAGCAATAGACAAGAAAGTTGTGCTTGGCTAAGAATGGCCTGCTTTAATAACCTTGTGTGACGTAGTGGGGGTACCTTGCTGGTTGCTATGCTGGGGCAGTGGGCTGTGGGTGAACTCTGCTGGCTGAGCAGGGCAGAGGACGAGTCATTATGCAAAAAGGGTCTCTCAACCTGTCCGACCAGCTACCCCCAGGGAGAGAAACAAAGGAAGATGGAATGCCGCCCCTGGCTGGGTGAGAGTGGGTTAGTTTCGGTCTGGGAAGCAGGGGAGAAGGAGCTAGGGAGGGGGCTGGGATTGTAGGGCCCAGCCACCCCCCATCTCAAGGGGAGGAACTGAGGCCTCCTAGCCCCAGTTCCTGTAACCAGATGACATCTGCGCTGTATCCTGGAGAAGCAATAAACTCCCTCTATTCTACTGGCTGGTGGAGTCTGTCCGTGAAATTACGGGGGTGCAGGAGACGGGAAAAACCCCAACGCGCCGTCACACCCTGACATCTCGCTCATCTAAAGATGACCACCTCTTCTCCTTCTATTTTTTCTTCTGTGTTTGTTTAAGGAAACAGATTTAACAAAACAACAGCTTTGTAAGTGAGCTGAAAACATTTTGGCTGCAGCCTATTTAATTTTGCCATCACAATCTTAACAATGTTATCATATGCATATATTACATAGAGTTACATAGAGTATATTACACAGAGTTGATTTTGCAAGTTAAGTGGTCTTCATGGAACTAGTTAATAAAGTAAAAGGATTATACCATGTGTGGTCAGTAAATCAACGTCTGATCACTGAAAAGAACCTTATGAGACAGCACTATCCATTGGAAGCAAAAATATGAAAACAGTTTCATAACCACAAAGAAGTCCATATTGTCACAGACTTCTTGCAGACAAATTATGAAGCCCAGCAATAGGTGTTAAGCAACTGAAGACTTGGACAGTCTCACACTAGAGCGGTAAAAGGATGTGAGTCAATAGAAGAGATGGGAGGAATCGAATAAGCAAAAGCAAAGTTGTAGATTGCAAGGCCAGACAGAACCACTGTGATCATCTTTATGATCTCCTGTGTAACACAGGTCATAACTTCACCAAAATAATTCCTAAAACATCATTTTTAGAAAAACAACCAATTCTGAATTAAAAATAGTAATGGAGCATACATAACCCCCCTTGGAAAACTGTTCCAGTGTTCAATCACTTACTGTCTGATTTTGTCTAGCTTCAACTTCCAGACATTAAATTGTGTTGTATCTTTCTCTGCTAGACTGAAGAGAATATTGTTAAATTTATTTGCACCCTCGGTAGATATTTATACTTAAAAGATTTTATCAAATCACCTGTTAACCTTCTCTTTGTTAAATTAGATAGATTGAACTCTGAATCTCCCACTGTAAGATATGTTTTCTAATCCCTTATCAATTTATGGTTATTTCTCTGATTCCTCTCTAATTTACAACATCCTTCTTGAATTGTTAATCACAACTTCCCAGGATAGGATCCCCCATTCTATATATTCTGATGGATTAAAGCTGAAAGAATGGCAAGGTAGAGCAATGGAGGATAGAGGTAGATGTCTGATGTAGGAGAGATGAAGTAGTAACCAGAGGGAACTCAAATGAACAGAACTGACGAAGCACTGTTTAGTATAAACAAAGCTGAGCAAGTGACTTTTCTGGCGAATGACAGTGTTGGTCTAGATTTGTAAGTGAAGAGATGGTGTGGGAAAGCAGAAGGCACGCTAACGCTATTTATTAATTCAAAGTATAAAGACTAGTATAGTAGTCAAAGTACAGTAGACATCACAAATCTGAATAAAGCAAATGACAGGAATACCCTGTATTTATTACTAGCAGATTTACTCAGCATTGCTCTGGTCCTTAACTCAATGAAGGGGTTGGGGATTTTTGGAAAATAAAAGAAAAATGTACATGTTTTATTTAAATGATATTTTTTTAAAATACGTTATTTTTATGAAGTTAATTTTTATGTTGGATTCCTTTATAAGAGGGATAGTTAAAATTTCTCTCTAATTTTTTTTGTAAAAATTTTAAATGGGAATTCCATTTTTTGTCTTCATCCCCTATGAATTATTATCACTCGCTATGTTTTAACAACAATGAGCTATAGTCAATTTAGTTTCCAAAAACATTGTTGTCTAGTTTTCAAACCTTAAGCATTGATTTAGTTGTGCCAAAACACAGCACTACTCCAAATTTCAATGTTTTATCTCTTTTCTGTAATGTTTATTGAGAAGCAATCCTATTCCAGGTTCATCATATGTTTCTGGCTCATCTTGGTTCAGTCTCTTTCACAATTAATTCAGTTATGTCAATACTGAGAACTATATACTTGATCTGGTGATTGTGTTTCTTCTCTGTTGGTTTTCTGAGAAGCAATCCCATTCCAGGCACATCCTGTTTTCCTGACATAACCAAACCCCAGCTCTTACCATTTACAATTTCTTGATCAGACACACACAGACAGATAAACTCTCTAAAATATATAATAGACAGGTTTAACATATAATCAAGTGGATTTGGGTGCTGGAGAGTGGGTTTTTTGATGTGTACAGGCAGTCCCTGGGTTACGTACAAGATAGGGACTGTAGGTTCCTGTGTAGTGTAGACGCTGGTATAGTTTTGTCGACAAAAGTCCACTTTTGTCGACAAAACTCAGTACAGGCAGTCCCCGGATTACGTACAAGATAGGGATTGTAGGTTTGTTCTTAAGTTGAATTTGTATGTAAGTCGGAACTGGTACATATTGTAGGGGAAACTCTAGCCAAACATTTCTCCAGAGCTCAGTTTTATTCTCCCACACCTCACTTCCCTCAGTCCTTTATTCTCAAGCTGAGGTGTCTGCTGAGAAAAGCCGCTCTGTGTCTCCCTCGTCTGCTGGGGAGGGGAGCGCTAGCTTCGCGTCTCCCTGGTCTGCTGGGGGGAAGCAGCTAGTGCGGGGTTGCCTCACCCCGTTTGTAAGTAGGGATCCGATGTAAGTCAGATCCATGTAACCCGGGGACTGCCTGTATATAATAAATGAGAGCTATACAGCTAGATAGCCTGCTGTCAACAATGACATTTCCTTTGTTATAACTTTTCCCACTGCCAATAACAATGTTTCGTGTAAGAAACAAAGCATCTTTTTAAATAAGCTGGTCCAAGGACATCACAACAATGCATACTTCAATGATACAATGTTGGCAGGGAACAGCCCTGGGATTCATTTCCAATTTACATCTTATATTCCCAAAAACCTCATACTTCAAGTTGCAGCCAACCACCTGTAAGAGTCAGGAAAGGATTTCCACTCTCCTCCTTGCTCTCAGATTTTTTTTTTAACTCTCTTTTGCCCAGAGCATCAAGAATGGCTATGGCTGAAGATGGGAAATCAGAAAGGGAGGGTTGGGACACTGACACAACCATTCTTGCAGGTGCTTGGCTCATTCTTGCTCTTCTGTCAGAGTCTAATAGATCACTGCATGTGGGCTAGGGAAGGAATTTCCCCTCAAGTCAAACTGGCACTGACCATGAAGGTTTTTTTTTTAACCTTCCTTTGCAGCATGTGGCTACAGGTTACTTCCCAGATTTTCTTGGTATACCTCAATCATTTCCCTGTCACTGTGGGAGTGTAAGGCATTGGTGCACCTCAGTTCTTCCTATTCTCTGCTTGTGGCACATAATAATCGAGTCTTTTCAGGGGTATAATATTTTGGTAGAATTTTGGTTGTTGGGTTTAGAATCTGGGTATTGTTGACCTGTGATATACAGATGGTTAGACTGGGTGATCCCTTCTGGCCTTAAATTCTGTGACTAGTTGTGGTAGAGCCAATCTAGACATCTACTGATGTCAATGGGTATCTTCCCATTGATTTTAAATGGAGCATGATTAAACCTCTAATGGGTAATATTTTGTAGCAAAAATGAGTCCTTTGTAGTTTGGGAGGAAATTCTTAAGTAAAAGACACTAACTGAATATTTTAAAGACTTAAGGAAATTTGTGCATTAATCTAATGGTATAATAAATCAAACAGTACATTGAGTACATGATAAATTTCTACATAAAACATGTGCTTTCACTGCATCTAACACATGTATGGTAATCTGTTAACCACTGAGGACTTTGTAAATGGAAGCATTCCTTTTCTGTTATTGACTATGCTAGCAATTGCACTTCCGTCTAAAATCTATAATAAATATTTTAAAAAGCCAAAATTACTCCAACTGAATATATTTGAAAATCTATGTAGGTGTGTTTTAAAGACAAAACAGGTTGGGAAAATATTTTTGCTTTTACATCAGGAATTGTGCTCTTTAAACATTTTCACAATTTTATACAACACATTACTAAGATCTATAGCATGCATTAGCAATAATGCCATCTCAAAGTGCTGAGGAAGTAGGTTAAGAAATCAAAATGAAATTTAGAGAGTTGAGGGAAACAAAAGAAAGAATTCCAGTAGACTCTAATTGTATCTCCCCCAAAATTTTATTTTAAATTCTAATATTTACATACCTGATCCTCTCGTTCAAAACCTGGTGCTTTTGGGTAGCAAGAATTTGGTGAAAAAACACCTGATGGGCTAAACTCAGAACACAAAGCACCATTTGCTAATGATCTTTGCCTACAAAGAGGTCCAATAGATGATAATGAGCTACAGCTACCAGAACTTGATGTTACTGTTGGACTTGAGGAACAGGAAATCTGTAGGAAAGAGAAAACAGGAGCTGTCCAATATGTTCTACTCTACTCCATTTTTAAATGGTTATTTAAATAACCATATATCTACCTATACAAATACATACACACAGGCATGCACATGCATGTTTAAATGGAAAAACCTATGTTAATGCAACATTATTTTTCAAAGTTGGAACATTCACAGTAATGATTCCATCACAAACATTCTTACAAAGCACAATTAACTTGTGGAACTCATTGCCACAGAATGGCCAAAAGTATAACCGGGGTTGATAAAGCACTATTTAACTTAAAGGAGGCTTGGTCTATCACCGGCTATTAACCAAGATGGCCAGGAATACAATCCCATGATTGGGGTGATCTTAAATCTTTGATTGCCAGAACCCAGGAGGAGAAGATAGGATTGGAACTCCCCAAAACTGCTCTATTCTGCACACTCCCCCCAAGTTTGACTCATTATGGTAGTTCTTCTGTTAATATACACCAAATTCTCCACTGGTGAAAATAAAAAACTCCATTAAAATCAATGATATGGCTGAAGAGCTGGCCCTACAATTCTGCCTTTGGGTGAAAAATTCAGCCCAGGCATTTCTTCACCTGGAAAATTTACAAATGAAACCATGAACCAATTTCAGCCTGTCATATGCAGCTACAACTCCCACTGAAATCAATATTACAACTATCATCATTAACTGGTAATCTTTAAACAGTAATTCAAAACTCACATAGTAGGAGCAAACTCAATCCTAGTCTCTCACTGACTTCAACATAATTGTGTATTTTTTAATTTGGCCCTATGTGGTCACACACTCAGGGAAAACTGCACTCAGTGCGTACTTGTTTATAAAAAAGGACATTATGCTATTGCAAAATACAGATTTCTACTCCTTTACAACAATTTGTCCTACTTAAAAACAAACCCCCCCAAAAAAACAAACAAAACCCCCCCAAGCAAGACATAATAGACATTCTTTGTGGAGGCAGACTATGCCAAGTCTGAATTCTCAGAATGAAATTGCTTACAGTAGCTCACTGCAAAAAAAGGATATGTAATTTGTCAAATTAATCAATGCCTATTTTCAATATTCAGGACAAGAAATACTCTTGGTTTTACGTGCTACTTAATTACACATCTTGCATGTATAAACAACAAATCATGCCAAACATACATGACAGCTTTTTGTGGGATAGATTTACAGAAGCTAGTAGAAGAAAAGAAAAATGATAGCTGTGTTTTGCTAAAGTATCTTATTTGAAAAATTAACTAGAATCTGGATATAAAAAATGTAATGTGGACTGAAAACTGGCTGAAGAATTTCAGACAAATGGTAAAAATAAGCAGTGATATATCACAAGCTAAGGGGCAGGAGTTTAGTACTAGGCATTAGGAGGACTGCTGAAAGTACCAGCCTTATCTGACATCTTCAGTAAGGACCAGAAAGAGGGTGAATAACAGCATCTTAATGAAACCTACTGTACGTACTAACTTGAGAGGGAGCTGCACACACAAGGGAGGATGTAAATGATACCAAGGAATGTAGTGATGTAAAAAACATGGAAAGCCTCCATTCACAGATCTTCAACTTTGTTTGCCAGAGAGGGTGGGGAATTCAGTTGGTGGCACCATCCTGTTCCCTGAACAGGAGAGGGTGGGGGATTCGGTTTGTGGCACCCATCTCTGAATCTGCAGAGAAATCTCCACAGAACCTAGGAATCTATGCACAGTGTAAGAATAAGGGGTAAACATGACCACACTTCAGCCTTGTCATTAATCTGCTCAAAAAGCTAATGTAGCGTTGAGGCTGCAATAATTTTTTTTTGCTGCCACTCTCTCCCTTCCCAGGTACAAGAAAATTTGTCTAATCAAATTCACTGGAATGTGAGTAGACATCAGCAAAGGAAGCTCTGGCAACTTGGCTCCATGATAACTCTCACATCCATGCATCAAACAGTGAACTAAGGAGCCACAAAACTGCAAGAGGAATCTACAAAAATTGATTTGGCCTCCTGGAAACCCCTGCAAGCCAAGCATTATAAGGGAAGAACCTCGTTATTATCAGTGAGAGGGTTTTTCCCCACTCCTTGTAATGCCCCACTTAAATGCACAATAAAAATGCACCATCCTCATTCACCACAGACAAAATCATGAAATCTTTAATCAAGATTTATTCGGGCAAAAGCCCTACTGAAATCAATGAGTAAAGGTGTCACAATCTGACCATGATGTTAATGTTACAGCACCCAACTATTATTCTTTTAAATGCCGCCACTTAGAACTCCAGTAAGTTTCTTTACTGAGACTGCCCTTGTACATGAGCAGTATTATTTACATTTTTTATTATCTGGGTGCTTCAACATGTTAACATTTTTATATAACTGTAAGTGAGAAGTTGGAAAAATTAAAGATCACTATCTCGGGGGGAGGGAAGGGCTGCTCCCAATGGCTCTGTAGTCTATAAATGTGTAGTGAAGTATTCTGTCCAACACTGAAATATTGTAAAAAATAACTGAGGGTGAGTTATAATCTATAAGAACTAGGGAAAAAATTCTGACAGAGGGCTGTTTTATCAAGCAGAAAAAAGTCTGCTATTAAAGCACACACTTCTAATTGAGATTAATTAAGTATTGATCAATTTACCTACTGTGTCATCAATTCTCCATAATCTGAATTCTTTAAACCCAGGCAGGATGTCTTTTTAAAAGATATACTGTAGTTCAACCCCAAATTGTGGGAATTACTGGATGAAATTCCATGGCTAGTACATATATCAGATTACACCAGGGTTTCCCAAACAGCTCCGTGGCGCCCTGGGGCTCCACAAGAAAATATTCATAACAGTTGTAATGGAATGATGTTTTTTGATAAAAATTGAAAATATATTTTTTTAAATTACCTATTATATTTAGAATTATTGTGGCAATATTCAATAAATAAGCTTGACACTGCAACATGAAATGGGGGAAAGGGGAACTCTAAAACTATATGTAGCTCAACGAAACACAGACTATAACTGACATAGATAAAGGTGCACTTCAGTACCATATATCAAGGTTGTAGGCCTGATAACACATATTAGATGCTTCAAGCACTTGGTCTAGCTTTTCACAAGTCAAAGATTTAAGACGACATTTATTTTCCACTTTCTTCCAACCAAAGCCTGCTACAATATAGTGGTCTTCACACTGTTTTCTTTCAATGTTTTGCAATACATCACAGACCACCATTCACATCCATCATTCTCCATGGCTAAGTGACTAAAAAAAGAAACTCTGGCTTCTAACAATCAGACTTTAACTAGAGCAAACAAACAATATCAGAACACGAAAAAAAGGACAATCAGACTGAAAAATCAGAAAGAGAGCTGTCAAAGAGGAAATCCACACTCATCTACCAGATTAGCAGCATGCAACAAGAAACGCAAGTATGATGAGAGTTGTTTGTCTTTTGGATTTACTTGCACTGGAAATAAAGATGTTCCTGATGCACAGCACATAGTGTTCAACAAAATACTTTCCAATAGTTCTCTGATACCTGCTAAACTATGAAGGCATTTAGAAACAAATAATTCTGAACACAAAGACAAAGGCATAAGTGTTTTCAAATGAAAGCTTGATGAACTTTCAAATAGTAAACTCTCAGTGATGGAAAAAAAAATCACTAAATTGGACAACAAAATTGCAACAGAAGCATCCTACTCTGGCTATGTCTAGACTACGGGAGTTTTGCGGGATACCAGAGGTCCAGGGAACGCATTTGATCTTCTGCTTTTTTTCCCACTGGAGAGCCAACACACTCTTTTGGGGAGTCCTGTATACCTCATTTCACAAGGCATAAGAGCTCCATCAAAAGAGGAGGCTTTTCTGCTATTTGGCCCCATCTTTGGCGGAAAAGCTTCTTCCGAAAAAAAAAAAAGCAGAAAACGCTGCAGTTTAGATCTAGCCAAACTGAGCTACCTACCATATTGCACTCACTAGATAAGTACATATAATTGCAGAAAAACTCATCAAGAATTGTGCAAAAAATGTTGCGATGTGTAGGACTGATAAGCCATCTAGTAAAACTGGAAGCCGTGCTGCGTGTCACACTCAACACCTTGCTGCTAACATGAAGAAAGAGCCAATTTCTCAACTGCAATTTTGTGATGTGTATTCACTGCAGCTGGATGAGTCTACTGACATGACAGTGCTTGCAGTCTTATTTGTGTTTGTCCATTATATGCGACTCTATGCTGCACCGGCATTCACTTTGTTCTTCACAGAGAAATTCTTGCCCTTAAGAAGATGCCTGTATCTTGTAAAAATGTTCTGGATGAGACAGTGCAAATTATTAATTATATACAAACTAGATCACTACGAGGCTGTTCAAAAGTTGATGTGAAGAACTCAGCAGTCAGCACACAGTGCTCCTTCAACATATGGAGATGAGAGGGCTACTGCTAGGGAAAATGCTCAAAAGACTTTTTGAGCTTCATCACAAAGTATTTACTTTGTAGATCACAACCACTGACTGTCAGGTTATTTGATAAATTACTTATGGCTGCTGAGACTTGTGTACATTGCTGATATATTCCCCGTGCTCAGTTAAGTTAATCTGCTGCTGTAAGAAAGAAACGTGAATATTTTCACCGTAAAAGATAGAATTGTATTGCTACTGGAGAAACTGGAATTTTGGGCATTGTCATAGAAAAAAAGACCTTTGACTGCGTTCCTACACAATGACTTTTTACTGAAAGCAATTCCATTCTTGACTACATTATTTGCAGTGACTTCGTACAGTGCTTATGTGACTTGCGCTCCTTTTAGAATACTTTTCTCCCACAAATGACAATAAATCTTGGATGAGAAATCCATTGTTAACAACAGCCAGGCCAGTTGGTTTATCAGCTCAAGACTATGAAAGCCTGCTTGAAAGGACTGCTGATTACCAGCTCAAACAAAAAAAACAAACAAACCCCAAACACACATAAATTAATTTTTCAAGCAACCTGATCCAAGAGTACCCA